GATGGGATTCATCTAATGTAACTCATAATCTCAAAACTAGATTGTTGAACTCAGTGGGGTGATCCTTCTTTCTGAGGTGCCTCCCTATCTAAACTGCCTACAAGCACCACCAAACACTTCATGGCTATGTAGGTGAGATGAATCCCACCTCTGCCATGTTTTTGTAAGAACAGTAGCAAGTTACAGGCAGAACTCAGACAAAGATTTATAGCAATGACTCTGAAGACATCTCTGAGTCTCTGGCGCTCCTGGAAAATGCTGAGATGGTTTGATTACACTGTGTTAGTACTTGTAGGTGAGGAAATTTGTCTTCTTGAGAGCTCTTTTAATTTAGCATAAGAAAGTGGGATAGCTGTTTGTGGAACCTGATGTTGAACATGCTTCAATGGGAAATGATGACCCTTTTTCAAGAATGTGTGTAATTAAATACTGAAGCACTTGAGAATATGAGGAAGTGTCCTCTGGTTCAAATAGAAGTGCTTACTCTGAGTAGGTCAGATCCTCTAACCAGGGTTATGAGGTGAGTTGGGATTTGTAGCCATTAGAGTTTGTTGCAGTTTCTAAAACATGAATTAGCTTGGAGCTAAAACCTTTTAGAAATAAAGATTCTAAAGGTTGTGGTTGCTGTGTCAGTGGTATAAGCCCCCGTAACCCCCAAACTGTTCAGGTGCAATTGTGAGTGGTTTCTTCTACTGTCCCTGAAATGTTTGCATGTGCATCACATTTCTGCTAGTCCTGAGGACTGAAAAGCTGCACTTCTCACCTAAGTCCTACATATAAAATATTTCTGTTGCCATTAAGCGAAACATCAAAATATTATAAGCCGTAAGTATATAAGAAATACAGGACAAAGGAACAACTCAGTTGTTTGTTGTTTTCTTTTCTTCCAAACTTCTTCAGTATAGGAAGAAAAGTTACTCTTTTTAGTCTCCTGTTCCTTTTTGAGAAGTAATATGTTATGCAAGTGATGGTGAGTTGTTAATCAGTTCTTTTGTAATGGGATCCAAAGTAATTTATTAAGTGTCTGGTTGTAAAATTTCCACTTAATTCCGCAGAACTGGATTCGTTACAAAAATTTATTTGAAAGAAACCATTACTTTGTTGTTTGCCTGTTTTTTTCTTCTATTATCCATATAGCTTGCTCCCAAATCTGCTTTGCTCAGTAAATTCTAAACAAAACTCAATAATTTCTAAATAAGAGAAGGTGCAGTTAAATGCTTTTTGGTACTACAAGCCCTTCTAAGGGGGTAAGACCTGGCACCTGATTACACAGGCATGATGATGCACCTGAAGCTATACTGGTGCACTTTCCAAATGACAAACCTGTTTTTCTTTGTTTTCTTTTGCAAGAGTACCAAACTGGAGGGTTGGTTCTACCATGCCTTCCACTAGAAACAAGCATTTCCACAGTGATGCTCAGGCCATATCCTGGTGCAGAAAGGCTGGCTTATTCAATACTGTGTTATGGTGGTTTCTGCCTCCTGTTGCTAGTGCTGCAGATTAGTGTTCAAGAAGACTCTTGGTGAGTTAGAGACTTTCAGAGATATTGGAGCCCTGTCCTGTAGCTTTCTAGTCTTCAGTTTGCAAGTGCTGGCTGACAGTCCCAATCTGAACAGATTGTCATTGTTCAGCTATTTAACTTCTGCATAATCTTTGCATGAATAGAATTTCTTGTGTGTCTTGTGGAATAACCTTTTATATAATTAGTATCTGCAATAATTTTTTCCTTTGGAAAATAATTCATGTCATCTTGCAGAGATAGGACAGACATAAAGCATTATTCTGCAGTCACACAAGAAGCACTGTTCATTCACAGTTTGTGTTGTGAAGCCAGTCCTGTATCCCCGGGGCTGGGTTGGTTTCGTGGCAGCACTCCTAATTACAGAATCTTTCTGCAGTGTTTCTGAACTGGGGGCTGCTCTAGAGTCAAACTGGAATGAAGTTGCAGCCTGGAAAGAGCCAGCTAGGAAAGTTTCTTGATGTATTTGGTCTTTTCATTCTATACATGAGTTGCAGGTTTGAGTCACCCACCAAGAGTCACAACTGAGGCTCGGCTTGAAGCTGTGATCCCAGATCTGAAAACAGGGATACTCCTCCCTTAGGCTTTGTCCTGACTAGGTTTGCATGCTGGATCATGTTCAACGGATCACACTCAAATAAAGCTGCACACTGAGCATGTCCTACCTTGGGCAAGACAGTGGGAAAGGAGAAATTAGTGCTGCTCCAGCCCTTGAATAACCTAAACATGTTTCTGCAGACAGTGATAATAAAGCAATTAGTAAATAATTACTGAGAAGACATTAGTTAGTGTGGTAGGAAAGAGGATATTGGGGTTTTGTATTGATGGTTTGATTACTTCCTCCTCTGTTGTAGCAGTAAAAGGTGCTGACAGCAGAGGCAGGAGGCAGCAATCCTGTGTTGGCCTGGGCAAATCTGTGTTTGCATTGTGTTGGTTTGTGATAGTAGCAGAGCAATACAGGCAAACTGGGAAGGGATTCGAGAGTGCAGCAATCATTGCATAAACACCTAAAATTGTTATTGGGCATAGCTGGCAATACCAGATTGAAAAGAAAAAAAAGGGTCTATTTAGGCTGGGCATCTAGGAGACCTTTTCCTTGAAGGAATAACCTTACAGATGCAAAAACTTCATTGCTTGAAGGTGGCTTGAAGAATTAGAACTGGCTTAGTCAGTGATGTGGTGGGAGGAAACTATGCTTGGAGTGACAGAGGAAGAGACAATGAGTAATACATTATTACTCTAATTAAGAAATAACTTAATCAAGATGTAATTATTGCCCAAATTAGGTATAAACCCAAACTGTTCTTTGCTGCTAAAAAGAAGACCAGTCTTTTCTTGCTGTGTATGACAGAGGGAGGAAGGAGCCCTTAGGAAGTCCTATGCTTTTTGAGAAGCAATATTAATTCTTCATCAAACTTGCTGTCCTGAAAGCCTCTCCTTTCTCCAATTATTATATAGCAGTCATTTCAGGAAATGCCAGAAGGCTTGTTTGAAGTTGATGGAGGCTCAGAAAAGGAAAAACAGCAGACCTCTTACTCTGATGTGTTGAAGGGAGTCCATGAATCAGTGGACTTTTTGGAGGCCTAGCATGAGTTTCCTGACAGAGCCTATGAAGGTACTGGGGAGTCAACAGCTCTTTTTGAACTGTGGATCTGATTCAGCAGAGGGTTTAGCACAGTGACAGTGAAGCCTGAGAGGAGTGAGTGGCGGGTGTGAAGTGTGTTCCCTGCCTTTTCAAGTGATGGTCTGAGCACCTCACAGTGTGAAAAGGGTTCTGTGCACGCCCTTTCTCTACTGGCACCTTGACTCTCTGCAGTGGCTGGGGCACACCTGGTACCTGTGTTTGTCCCTGGGCAAGGGGCACACCTTGTACCACGGCTCATCCCTGGGGAAGGGGCACAGCTGGTACCACTGCTGTTCCCTCGGGAAGGGGCACACCTCATACCTCTGCTCATCCCTTGGGAGGGCCCTCCCACGCCAGAGGGGCTTTGGGGCAGTGCCAATGGGTGTGGAGGGGAGCAGGCCAGGACTGGAGGAGCTGAGGAGCTGCTTGGCCCGCAGCTGGGATGGGCAGGTGGCAGCCTGTTACAGAGCCCAGCATGGCAGTTAGCTCTTCGTCCTGAATGCCATCTTTTCAATGCCTTATATAATCCAGAGAACAAAATGGGAAAGGTTCTTTACCTGTGCCAATCCACATAACTGCAATAAGCAGACATGGCACATCACAAATTCCACTGAACTCTTGAATCATTGCTACTCAATTTTAAATTCAGGCTTTAAAATACGTAAAATGTGAACATTTAGACTTGTGCTCTCCCCAGTCAGTAACTACAACAGCACCAAACTCTTAGGGCACTTGTCTTGTGTGTGCTGTGTTTGTCCAGGCTTTGAGCTAAGTTGGTAGGATGGAACTGTAGGGAGGGCAGTGCTTTCATCAAGTGCAGGCCTGGCCTTTCATAGTGCTGGATATTTGCCTTTGAAGAAACCAAAATAAACTCATGCTGTGGAGTGACTTAGCTGTGTGATATAATAATGTTTTATTAAATAGATTTCTGTTTTTACAGGAATAGAGGGTGCTCAGAATTTCACTGGGATGTTTTCATTTGATTGTTCATGTATTAAAGAAAGATGAGGCTATGTCTAAAATTCAAAACTCTTTAATCTGAGATTTGCTTTTTTTCAAAAAAAAAAACAACTTTGTTTTTTAACAAAGTTAAACAGCTTTTGAGTTTTTTTCTGGTGCAGTTCTGACCATGATGATAGGAAATGCAGCTGGAAATGACTGTGCTAAGTGTAAGACACTCAACTCCTAGTTTTCATGGGCTTAACCTTTATACAAATGTTAGTATCCTCAATGTCTGCAGCAGTGGATTTAGTGTATTAAATATGCTGCTATTTATGGGTTGTAAGTGAAACAGTTATTCCTCCTTAAAATATATTGCTATGGTCCCAGAGACCTTGGTGAAAGGCTGATGGAAGCCAATGTGGCCTTTACTAAAGACTGTGCATTCTTAGAGCCATTCAGCTATTTTGCTGCAGGCTTTTTGCAGCTTTTTATAATCCAGAGAGCTTGGAAATCCTGAAAGTGCTTTTCTGTACTGCCCTTTGCCTTATCTTTAGAGCCTTGGAAAATGAAAGGCAGAAATTCACAACAGGATCAAAATGTTTTGCTCTATTAGAATTAAAGGTAATGTTTTGCTCAGTCTGGGGAGGAAAAAAAGCAAGTATGAAAAAAGAAATAATGAGTGGCTAAAATAGAGCTGTTAAAATGGCAGCACACAGACAGCCTGTGTATAAATATAGGCCAGCTCCTCAGCACTGCTCTTATATGGTAGATCTGAGTGAAAGAAGACTATCAGTCTACTCTGTTTTGTGCAGGCCTGTGTGCTGGTTGTTCTGTCTGGTGCCAGATGTTCAGTAGTAGACAAGGCTGCATAATACACGGCAATCATAATGACTGTCACCTTTATTTCTATTGCAGGGACCTGTGTCAACAGTGTGAGAGAGAAATCTCCCAAGCACACTGTGGATTATTTGTGCATGCTACTGGATTATCTACCTTTTACTGACACACCCAAAAGGAGAGGAAAAGAAATTGTTGACTGTCACTTCTGCCTAAGAAGTGACTGGATTTTATGGCCTCTGGTGGAGAAGCTACCTGGATGATTGGAAATGGAGCAGCTCGTGCTGCACCTCTGCTGAGCAAGGCTTTCTGCAAGAAATACAAGCATCGGGGTGCCTTAAGTTAAACCATATGCAAGTTGCAGTAGCTCCTCACACAGTTTGGATGTTTCCAATTGACATTTGAATGTTTTCATCCAATCTGGTGTGGCTGTGAAAAGTGAGCTTTTCCCTGTGAAGTTCATGGTGAGCTTTGCAGCCTCACTTCCCAGTGTGGTCTGTGCTATGGCAGCGACCTACAGGCTGATGGTGACTTCAGTGAACTGCTACAGCAGCGTGGTGGTAGAGCAGCACTCCCAGCACACTGTGCACTACTGCACAGGCTCCTGCCAGCTCCTCAAACAGGGACTCACCTGCATAGTTGCACACCACAGTGTCTGTGCAGAGCTCAGTGTCCAAGATGCCAACCTGGACCATAAAATTCCTGTTCCTGAAAATGGTCTTGCCTTGGCTGGAAATGAGGACTATCACCAAATCCTCCCAAATAATCCAAGAATCAAGAAGGGCTCTTCAATGCAAGCATCCAGCAGTTTAAAAGACATTACTGGTGAGGCAATAAACCTTGCCAGTGGTAAAATAAAGGAATTCTCATTTGAAAAGCTCAAAAACTCTTCCAGTCATGTGGCCTACAGAAAGGGAAGGAAAGTTCGATCAGAATCTTTCAGCAGACGATCCTTTGATTTTGACTTGATTTATGGGCACTTTAACAATGATGAGAACTGCCCTCCATGTGGCTTTTTGCAGAGTCCCTCACCTGTGGAGAAATGGCAGGAGAGCAACGATGCTCCAGAAGTCACCATGAATCCTGTGGTACCCTTCAGCCCTCATTCCTTCCCTGAAGAAAACTTAATTACCCAGATTTTAGAAAAACACAAGCTAGATGGTTCTTCTGGTGGGGATATTAAGGTGTGCCTGGACATCTTGCTCAAGTGCTCAGAGGATCTGAAAAAGTGCACAGACATAATCAAACACTGCATCAAGAAGAAGTCTGCAGATGTTGGTGGAGGGAACAGCAATGATCCCCTGGCTAATTCAGAGATGATATACATGAATCTGATGACAAGATTTTCTTCCTACCTGAAAAAGCTGCCCTTTGAGCTGAAGACAGCGGGGCAGAGAGAAGCAAGTGACTGGGCAGAGCTGGTGAACTGTTTCCATGGTTTGCAGCAAACTCCCTTTCCCCTGGTATTTGGTGATGAGCAGCCACCCAGGTATGAAGATATCATTCAGCTGCCATCCTCAAGTGCGGTTCCTCTCGTTCTACCAGGTCAGGGTGAGGTGACAAGCACCTCACAGTCCATCCAGACAGGTACTGTGAGCTTCACCTCCAACTCCCTGCCCAGTGTCCCTCCAGAGAGCAGCGTGAGAGCTGTGAAAGATGCTCTACCTCAGTCACCTGCCCCGAGCCCCTGTGACTGCACGTCTGCCACCGAGGCACTGTACATCGAGGAGGAGTCTGATGGGCACAGAGCAACAGGGACAGAGAAGAAGGCAGAGCAGAAGAGGGGCTGGCAGAGCCTGGAGTGCAGCTACGAGCGAGCATCAGACCTTCCTGCTGATGCTAAAGCAGAGCAGGCCAGGGTGGGAGATGCTCCTGAGAAAACTGCTCTTTTAAAACCAGTGTCAGATCCTGTGTTGTGTGGTGCCCAAGCTGCTGTTCCCAAGGGAAGCCAGACATGCAGTAGGGTGGACAAGGAGGAGATAGACAAACTACTGCTGGACTTGGAGTGCTTCTCACAGAAAATGGAGAGTACTCTGAGGGAACCCTCTCAGAAGGAGGGTGAACCTGCCTCACTGCAGGTGTCTGGCAGGCAGGGTAGACAGGCTCCACCTCTGGCTCTTGACCCCAAAAGTAAACCTGCTGATCCCCCTTCTTCTTTGTCAAAAATCATGGAAACCAACTGTCATAAAATGGAAGAGGATGACAAAGCCCTTTTACTGCGTATCCTGGGAAGCATTGAGGACTTTGCCCAGGAGCTGGTGGAATTCCAGACAGGCAAGGGAAGTTTGTCCAAGGAGAGGGAAGTGATGCAAATTCTCCAGGAAACTTTAGCAACTTCTTCACAGTCCCTACTTGCAGGGCAAAAAAACCATGTTGGGGCTGCATCCAGAGACTCTGTTCCAGCTTCAATTCAGCAGGCCCCAGAAGTAATAAAGGTAAGAGAACCAAATTTTTGATAGAATAGTGAAAAAAACAAAGGTGGGAAAATGTGGGGGGAGTGTGGGGAATTACATATAAATGATGCATTGTGCTTTGAATGCTGCAGTGTGGAATGATGTATTCAACCTGGCAGAAATGTAGCCTTTATTTAAATACAAACAAAAAAAAAGGAAACTGAAACCCATGAGAAAATAAAATAGGTCCTGACATGGAGTTTCACCTTTGAGCTTTACCCTTTCCTGATGGTGCTTCTGTAGACTGTTTGCTTGTGGTTTAAATGGGTCCCTTATAATAGGGTGAAGTAATAATTACTTTAATAAGTAAAAATAATTACTTTATTTCTGGGACCAAGTATTGGACTTCCTCTCAGCTGTCCAGTAAGAACTGATTCTTCCACCTCTCCCTTTCCCATCTCTGAGCAGCTTTTCTTGTCCTCCTTATCACTGGTTGCAAAAGAGACCAATCCTTCGTGAGACAAAGGACAGAATCTCAGAGGATTTAGTTCTGTTTTCCCTGTGAACTTTCACAGCTTCTTCCAGTTGGAGCTTAATGTGCTTGTTTTCAAAACTGGCCACTTTTGCCCAAAATTTGATGCAGTTCTGAAAAACTGCATACATGGGTTGTGTCTTACCCTACATGATGGTACTGAGATCCTTTTAGACCAGGCTTTCCAAGAGTTTCTGTTGTTGCTCTGGGCAACTTTGCTTACAGAAAATGATATTCTGGTATTTCCAGCAAGGGAAAGAATCTTTTTCTACAGAGAGTGTAGAATTAAACAGCTCTAAAATTTCTAAAGTAATCCCTTGTAATCTTGCCTTGTACATTATTTTACAAAATTTTCTAACTTGTGAGTTCAAACAAAAATGTGTTTGATGAAGTGTGACGCTGGGTTTGTGGCAGATTTTATGTAATACTTGTAAATGGGATGCATTTATGCTGCCAAGTGGCTTCTCAGTGTGGTGCCTTGGCAGGTTGTGTTCCCCTGATCCCACCTAGCTGTGTGTTAGTTTGCTCCCAATCTGCTTTCTATGGACATGTGCTCCACAACTCCCAGAGCTCTGTTCCTCCATGCAGTCACACAACCCTTGCCTTCTGCAGATGCCCAGAGCCAAAGACCCTGGGTGAGAAGAGCTGTTCTGGGGAGGCAGAGGATGTGGAGGCATCTGGTCCCCTCAGCAGTGAGCACAAGGCACTGGGCTGTTGGTCTGCACTTGCTCTGAGGTTTGCTGTTATTTGTGGCATAGATGTGTTCCTTACTAAGTGTAGCATCTAGAGAATACATCCATATTCCTGGACTACTCTGGATGTTATTGAAGCTGCATGTAGATTCTCAGTTGGTATCGCATGTGTGCCTCAATTATGCTAAGTATTTATTGTATTTTCTTAAGGCTCATAAAACTGTTGTCAAATAGCTGGCCACATATGCAGAAACCCCAGAGCTCTGAGACTGATGAAAACGCAGCATACCTTTCATTCGTGAAGGTTTTGACAGATTTAATATCCCTCAAATGCTAAGCAATGAAAAAGGAGAGGGAGAATCCTTCAGACCAGGCTGTTCTCTGGCTCAGCTGGCCTGTGTTAAATCTGTGCTAACTTATACCAGCAACAGACTTCCTCTTTATCATAAACCCAATTATGATCCTCCACAGAGAACAATAGGATTACTTGCCTCTTCATCTTCCAAAACCCAAATATTTAGAAAGTAGGAAATGAATACTCAAGAAGTCCATCAGTTTTGCAGAGCACATAATAAGGGCATCACGCTTCTTTTGGGCAGGCCAGGAAACATTGCATACTTTTAGACTGTCCAACATTTCCCATTCAGTTTTCCGTTGCTTATCTCTAAACCTCCTAACTATTTGTTTTGGGATTTCCTGTTCTCTGTGCCTGACTTAAGCTGATTTTTTAGTATGTTGGTTTTGAAAAAATAGTTCAGTGGGAGCAGTACAGTTGCCTTTTAGAAGTCAGCAAGCTCCATAGTACTTACCTGTATTTTTGTCTGTAGTGAGGAGGGCTATAAGGATCCTGGATGGACCAGCATCCAGGTTTGAGGGAACTGGGGGAAACTGGGACCAGTAAGCAATGAAGAAGGTGGAGATGGGGCTGTTGGGATGCTGTGAGCTGACCTGCAGAAATGCTGAGTGTTGAGTTGTGTTGGAAGGTAAAGACTGCTGCCTTTGAGTAAAATGTCATCTGCAAAGTCCTTGGAGAAGTTACTGGTGGATGTTTTTGACCTCCTGTGTCCTTGGTCTGGCACCTGTCCAAATTGGTTGATTTGACAAAGTAAATTGAGCTAATGCTTGGAGTGGTGCTCTAGTGAAAGAACCCTAGAAAAATCTGTAAGCAACGTGGTCCTTCTGTTTTCAGAATCAATTGTGAGTGGTGCAGGGCTTTGCTGGATGTTCTGCTCATGTGCTGTATTTCAAGAGCTGTTGAATAAAGTTTATGAATAATTTTGGGAGCAGAGGTCAGGGCCAGACTTTGATACAAGAGACTCTTTCGTTTTTTGTCCCTCCACTGTTGGGTATCTCCTGAAGAGCATTTCTTGTGTTGTAGTGAGCCAGAAAGAGCAGTTCTGCTTCCCATTTCTCTCTCCTACATACCTCTACTTCCTATTGTATGATTCTGAAACCCTCTTTATACTGACTATGGTGCTTATATATAAGTTAAACCTAACTAACATTTTTGTTTCCTGCTAGCTTAGCAAGTGGAACAGCTCAGGCCGAGGTCAGATGGGTGATCCAACCATTTCTGGCCAGGGTCTGTGGATCTGGGAGCAGAGGGTCTGTGGGGTTGATAAGACCACCTTTATAATCATGCTGTATTTCAGGTGGTAGAGCCTTGAGTGAAGTACCCAGAGGCTGTTCCCTGTTTCCACATTTCCTCTGGGTGGGCTCTAGGTAGAATCCTGCCTCTCCTGAATGACTGATGGAGTGGGTGTTTCTGGGGCTCTCAGAAGGTTCTGAACTCCCTGTGCTCTGAAACACCATTTCAAGGCCACACACTTTGCTTCTTTGCATCAAAATTTCTGTGCTGTGTGCTTAAATCAGGGGGCCCTAAGAAGGCTCAGAGTGGAATTAACTGTTTCTGAATCATGGAAAGTTAAGGTTGACCTTGCAACTTTGTAATTCTGCCCCCTCATATTTTGTGCACTTCTTTGTTTTGAAAATGTAATGATATTATTATCAAGGATCTTGCATGAGGTGATTAATTGTAAAAAGAGGCTTCCATAATGTCACAGTTGCTTTAACTTTGTTCTGAAATAATTGTATATTCTCAAAATGTGTCTAAAATATAATATAAAACTCTTTCTGGAAAATCAACTTTCATCTTACATATGTTAAAAATTGCTTTGATCCAGTATTGATAACATCTGTCATTTAAGCTATTCACAATTTCAAACATCAATTATTCATTACCTCTTAACACAAATAGTGAGTAACATGGGGCTTTTTTTTTTTTTCTGTTGGTAATGGTTACTGAAATAACAAGTATTAAGTGAATCTAAAGTATCTCAGAATGAAAGGTGACTGAGAGGCAATCTGGCATCTCTCACCTTTAACCTGGGTCACCTACAGCAAGGAGGGATTTCTGGGTTTGTGGTTTGTGCAGTTGGTCTGGCTGTTGAGACCAGACTTTTCTGCTGTGGGTTTTGTCCAGGTGACTTTGAAGCTGTTGAAACAAGATTCTCTTACTGTTGATTTCTCTCAGTACTCTATATCTATATTTATACCCACTTTATGTGTTTTGAGGATAGAAAGAAGCATGTTAGAAACCTGCTATTCCAAAACACTGGAGTACAGCCACAGTGAGCTGTGCCTCTGGATTACTTGCATTTTTTCAGGTTATCAGTGAAAACCTCCCAAACTTCTGAGATCCTTTGTGACTTGTTAATTTAAGCATGAAAAGTACTTGGATGTACTGGGTTTTTAACTAGTGGCTGCCAGATTAGTGTGTCTCTTTAATGCATACGTCTGTCAAAGGTCTCTGTAGCTGGTCTGGATGCAGCTGGAGGTCAGAGAGGTTCCTTGGGCTTCATTTCCTCTGCAGGCTGTAAGCAGAACATGAAGTAATTCATCACTTGCCACAGTTGATTTATAATAAATCACGTCCTGACATGCTGCTGCATGAGATCTGCAGCACTCCTGGTACAGTGCAGCCTCATGGGCTCTTTATGTATTGCCTTAATGTTTAGATAAAAATTGTCAGAGAAAGAAAAACCAAATTTGTTCCAAATGTGTTGCATGTGGATCTGTATATCCTTTATTTGGTGGCAGCTCCACTTCAAACATTCCTACCTGCCTTTTTCTTTTTGGAGGTTATTTTTTCATCCCCATCTTCTTTGTGCTACTCCTCCGTTAGACTATTGTTCTCATTTGGGCATTGTGTTAACTTAGGGCTTTCTACAGGAACCCAGGAAAATACATCAGAGGCACATGTCCAGTAAAAGCTTTCTGTTGTGAGGCTCACTGAGATCTTTGCATTTCAAATGCAATACCTTGATGAAAGCAAGCCCTACTAGCTCGAAATTGGGTGTTTTTCTGTGTTACTGAACGTAGCATCCTGGCAGAGTGGCTCACATTTTAGTCTAGTAGGGGAAGCACTCCATGGGACTCTTGTGTGGGAAGAATTGGATTTAGACCCTTGTTCAGCACCCTTCTTACGATAAGGGAGGGAGAACACACTTCTAAGAAGCCTAGGCAAAGTTAGAGCAAGGATTTGAAGTCTGCTTCAAGTTGTGCAGAGAAAAAGCAGACTATTGTCCCCTGAGAATTTCTTTGCCTTTGCCTCGTGAGAGTTACGGGGAATGTGAGTAACAAGAATTATGCATTTTGATGTCTTTAGGAAACTGTTTTCTTCAGAGCTGCTTGGGAATGACTTCATGATCATCCTTATTGCTTGGCATTAAAGGAACTAGATGATTTGGTTTTTCCAGCAATAAAGAAAGAATGATGTTTTTTGAAAATTACAGCCTTCAGTCAAGAGTGGGAACTAA